CCTTGCATTCTTGTCACTATGGCTTGAGTTTTTTTTTTTTGGGGGGGGGGGTCCGGTTGTGGGGCCTGAACTCTGGGCCTGGGCGCTGTCCCTCAGCTCTTCAGCTCAAGGCTAGCACTCTACCACTTGAGCCACAGCGCCACTTCCAGCTTTTTGCTTATGTGGTGCTGGGGAATCAAACCCAGGGCCTCAGGCAGGCAAGGCACGCGCTCTACCACTGAGCCATCTTCCCAGCCCTATGGCTTGAGTTTTTGCTGGATGTGGCTGGAGAATATTCCCAGGTCCTAGGGGCAATGCTCAGTTCCTTACCACATAGGTTTCTCCAACATGGCTACTTCATTCACTGAGCTTATGGGAATATATGGTATCCAACTACTTTTCATATTTTATTATTGAGAAACAAGTCATAGCCTCACTCTGTTCCTGCACTCCAAGGGAGATGATTTCACACAAATGAATGCTAAGAGGTGATAACCCTTAAGGGTCATTTTAGGAATAAACACCACCACCCTTGAAGAGAGGAAGTCACTACCATTCTTCATTTACCAAGGAGGAAAAAGAAACTTCAGCCAAGTTCATGAGCTTGGTAGCAGGGCAGTCTGTTTTCAGATAGTCTGGTCCCAGGAACCATGCTCTTAGTTATTGGGCTCTCTCTATACTTAACTGAAGCCAAAGTTTCTAACAACAACAAAGGACTTTTTAATTTTATTGAATAGTGAAATAAACTTGGTTAGGAACTGCACAACCTAAAATAATCATAAATGTATTGAGTTGCTCACATATGGGCATTGAACAGATGAGAAACAGAGGAATGTCAAAATGGTTAAATAAATAACCAAAGTCACGACTAAGATGGTTGAAAGTGATATTCTCACTCAGATCCAAAAGAACCCAGCATCAGAAAATGTGGGTATAATTTTTGTGTCTGTGTCGTGCAAATGAGACAAAATAACCCATATGAAAGCATCATTCACAATGCCTGTCACACAGGAAGGCCTCAACCCATTAGTTGAATTGGATGAATGTTTTCTTCACTCTTTACCTGTCCTAGATATTCCTTCTATAGCTAATGGAAATATCCTACCCAGTACACGCTACCTTTGAACTCTTGGAGATTATTTTTACCTGTTATTTGTAGGAGAAGCACATATTAGAAATTCCATTTCTAAAAGCTTAGGCATGGGGGGGGGCGGTGCTAGCTTTCCACATGAATGCATGGCCTCTTAAAGCCCTGTGGTAGTCATTAATCCAGAGTGGGAGAAAACGATGAAGTTGAGGGGAAATTGGATGTAATTGCAGCTCTCTATTAGTCTGTTTTTCTTTGCAACCTGGATGGAACATTGTGAAATATATTTTGTCCCCAGTGCAATTTCCATGTGAATTAAGCAGTGTTGTTTGGCTGGGCTACTTGAGGACAGGCAATTCTTCCTGTGGCTGGAACTGTTACTTGATAAAGCTGTCCTGGGGTAGGAGGGAGGCCTGCTGCCCTTGGGGTGCTCCTTAAAGTACTGACTTTAATACCAGCCCTGCCATTCGTGTGTGTGTGTGTGTGTGTGTCTGTCTGTCTGTCTCTCTCTCTCTCTCTCTGTCTCTCTGTTTCTCTCTGTCTCTGTCTCTGTCTCTCTGTCTCTCTCTCTCTGTATGTGGCAGTACTGAGGTTTGAACTCAGGGCCTTGTGCTTTCTAGGCTCACACTATGCCTCCAGTCCTTTTACGAACTGGCTATTTTTGAGAGAGGACACAGGACTTCCTGTCCTGTGTTAACTTTGAAGCCCCTATTTTTCATTTCTCACAGTGGGAATGACAGGCATGCACCACTGCACCCAAACATTGGTTGACAAAGGGTCTCTTGAATTTTCTTTTCTTTTCTTTCTTTCTTTCTTTCTTTCTTTCTTTCTTTCTTTCTTTCTTTCTTTCTTTCTTTCTTTCTTTCTTTCTTTCTTTCTTTCTCTCTTTCTTTCTCTCTTTCTTTCTTTCTCTCTCTCTCTCTCTTTCTTTCCTTCCTTCCTTCCTTCCTTCTTTCTTTCTTTTTTGATGGGGCTGGCCTCACAGAATAAAATTCTTGAGCTCAGTCTCCCAACTAGCTGAGATTACAAGTGTAAGCCAGCTTCTGCTCTGCCATTCTCTTCTTTTCTTTTGAGTGGTACTGTGGCTTTGGATTCGTGGCAGTTTGCCACTGAACCACACTTCTAGTCCCATTTTTCATTGGTAATTTTTAAGAAATGTTTTGATTCCTGTTTAAGCATGAACCTAGACCACAATCCATCCATAATTTGTGGATGTCAGATATGTACATCATGTCTCTCTGGTGAGGTGGATTCTTTTGGACTTTTCTGCCCTGGCTAGTCTACAACATTAATCCTCCTGGTCTCAGCCTCCCACATAGTTTAGGTTGATAGCACCAAGCTATGGGTTCAGAAGGGATCTCATAAACTTTTTTGCTTGGGCTGGCCTTAAACCAATATTTTCCCATTCATAGCTTCCCAAGTATCTAAGATTACAGGAGAAACGACCTGTTCCTGGCTCAGCTCTGCCATTCTTAACTACCTATTGGCCTCTGATGAGTCTTATAGACTGTAGAATTTTATCCTTAACATGAGAGGCACAGTATACCACTCAATGTATTTGTAGTTCTTTTAACAAGATTATCTCACTATTAAATAAAACAATACTACTGGTTTGGTGCCAGAAGCTTTGGATTCCAGTCCCCATTCTGTTCTTTCTTCTTCAGATACAAAGGGGAATTGTCATCTTTAAATAATAAAAAAACAAACTATTTAGGTGCATTGTAGTGTAGCTCAATGTACAATAAAGGGTATAAATTGAAATGTTGAACTCCTTCCTTCACTAAACTGTGCTTCCTTTCTTAGATCCAATAACTCTTAGTTATTTGATATCCATCAAGAAGAATTTCCTGTCATATATTCTCTCTCTCTCTCTCTCTCAAATTGGGGAAAAAAACTAAAGAAACCTTGAAGGTATTTTGTGTTGATTCATACCACCTCTTTTTTTTTTTAAACAAAGCTGGGCCCAAATTAGTAGTTATTTAGGCAAGTTCCTTAATAAATAAATAGTCATGACTGGTGTTTACAAGTCACAGGCTGTATTCTAAGGACCTTATCTTTGTTAACTTGTATAATACAATAACCCTAGGTAGAAGCAATTATTGCTGTCTCCATTTTCGACCTGAGGACATGGGTGCTTAGAGAACTTCATAATAATTGGAACAGGTGAGACTCACACTTAGGCATAGGGTTATAACACATTTCTGCTCATATGGTTTTTATGCACAGACTAGTTGGCAAATAATGAGGCTTAACAAATATAACAGTTTAATGAAATTGCACTTTTGAAAGATCAATGTGACAGAAGGCCGAGAAAGCACTTGTTTCCCTGCACTGTCCATATTTTCTGGTGCATTTCAATTTTCTTACCCATTTCTCATCCTAGAATTAGGATCTTGTTGAAAGCAGGGACTCTGTACTCCAGGTCTTGGCACAGGTTGGCCTATTGTCAACTCTTCATAATACCTGTGAGCAAGTTACTAAAAGTTGGGGAAATTATCAAAGGGATTGTTAGATTTTTTTTAATTTGATCTGGTCTTAAGTGTGAATAAAATTTTATTTTCTACCCTTTTGTTGTATAAGTAGCAGAGAAGTGACTCAATTAGTCCTTGGGACTAAATCTCCAGAATCTTCAGAATCTCAGCCCTGTGGCTCCATTCTTGTAAAACACTGGATTTCTCACAGGAATATTTTTCACGTGTCATTATGCATTAGTACAGTGTGCAATACATTTTCTTGAGGGAGGACTCTGGAAAATGCTCATGGTTGTGTGTTTTATTTTAGAACTGGACTCTGTTAGGGACTTTAAGACTATTTTTAAAAGAATATATGGGTATTTGAATTCTTTTCAATAGTGTTCCTCTTCCCTAAAAACACATAGCTTTTTGTTCAATAATAAATAGTAGATGACAAAACTCACAAGATCAACAGCCTCCTTTCTCTACCTACCCCAAATCAAAAAAATATTCCTTAACCAGATTATGCATATTTATCTAAAAATTATATCTGGGAGGCCATTCCTGTAATCCTACTGAGGATGCTGAGATTTAAGGATCAATGTTTGAGGCCAGCCCAGGCAGGAAAAGTCCACGGGACTCTTTATGTCCAATTAACACTAAAAAAGCCTTATTTGGATCGGTGGCTCAAATGTAAGAATGAGTACTGGCCTTGAGGGAACAAGCTCAGTGATAGCACCCAGGCCTTGAGTTCAAGCCCACAATCAGCACACAAAAATACTATATTCAAAGGTGATACTATCTTTCTTCTAAAAATAACCATCCCTTGAGGGCCTTTCCAAGTTTCAAACCCCACCCATTTACCCCCCTGCCCTCCATATTGCTCCCCACTATGTATCTCTTTTTTTAATCTCTTTTTTGTCAGTCGTGGGGCTTGAACTCTGGGCTTGGGCACTGTCCCTCAGTTCCTCAGCTGAACGCTGGAACCCTACCATTTGAGTCATAGCACCACTTTGGTTTTCTGGTGATTAATTGGAAATAAGCATCTCATGGACTTTCATGCCGCAGCTGGCTTTGAGCCGGGATCCTCAGATCTCAACCTCCTGAGTAGCTAGGATTACAGGCATGAGCCACTGGCACCTGGCCCCACTTTGTGTTTCTTGAGGACAAAACTTAGAGACAAGGGCTGAGGTCTGCTGCCCCACATGCTTCCTATAAGTCCCTTGCACAGTGAGAATCCACATAGGCCTGGAGTTCTCTTGGATGAGGGAAGGTCATGGCTTTCCAAGGTAAGGGCCCCTTAACTCCCTCTCCCTCCTGCTCTCATTGGCTAATTCATGATGTCAGAGGCATCCAAGTGCAAAGTTCTTATTAGAAATTTTTTGTGGGTATGGCTTAAATTTAATTCAATGATCACTTGTGTTGTTCTTGTCCCGTGAGAAAGAAATTCTTACAGTCATAATTGCGTATAAGAAAAGCTTTATTAAGTCAAGTAATTGTTGCACTTTTCCAACACTGTAGGGTAAGATCAGCAACTGTTTGTATGAGCTAGGAAACAACGAGCACATCTCAGTGAGCAAGTTCCACTTTTACAATTGCATCTGCACACACCTCATAATAGCTATAGAATATTTATTTTATTATCCAGTCAAGGGTAAATGATCCCACAGCAATTTGGCAAGGCTTTTGTGGTGAAAACACATTTCTTAATGATCAAATACACAATGGGAGATAGGGTTAGGCAATTACAGCACTTGAAATGGTTACAAATACAGAAGCCAGGCTTGGAGGTGCACACCTGTAAACACAGCACTTGGGATATTGAAGCCAGAGGAATCATGAGTTCAAGGTGAGCCTGGGTTACATACTAAGAACTTGTCTTAAAATAAATAAGTAAATAAACAAATAAATAAATAAATAAATGATAAAAAATTAAACAAATACAAATAAAACAATACGGAATTTACAAAGAAGGATTGTGGCATCTTCAAACTTTGGTGCTTTATTCTTGAAAAAAAATTGTCTTATTAACTTTAGTATTAAAGGTCTTATTTTTAAATGCATGATGTTTCTTTCTTTTCCTTTTCCTCTAATACCATCTTTTAACTATATGAATTTTCTTGCGGGGGATGGGGAGGAATAAACAAAAGTTATCCGCTTGTATATGTTTACTGACATGGCATCAGGATCAAGGACAGGTGGCACGCTACATTGGTACTGGTCCACATTTGCTGCAATCTACAGGCTAGGAGGTAGCTTCTGGGGCTGATGACTTACATGTTGACAAATTTTCCGAGCAGCTTCTCAACGATCTTGGACACCTTGGACTTCTTCTGGAGGCAGGCAGTATACTTCTTCTGGAGGCAGGCGGTGGACTTCTGGATGCAGGCAGTATACTTCTTCTGGAGGCAGGCAGTGGACTTCTGGAGGCAGGCAGTGAACTTCTTCTGGAGGCTGGAAGCAGGCTTCTCCACGCAGTCTTCAGGCTCTTTCTTGGTGCTCAGCAAAATGTGGAGCAGCTCCTTCAGGTTGATGTCTTCCTTGGTGGAGATCTCCATGAAGGCACAATTCCACTCCCGCGCGAAGGCAGCACCTTCCTGTGGACTCACCTCTCGGGGCTTCTCGTCGATCCTGTTACCCACGAGCAGAATCGGAAACTGAGGCAGGTCGTTGCCCTTGATCTTGCGAATCAGCTCTAAGTCGGGCTTTGTCTCCTCCAGAGATGTCTTCCTGGTGATGGAGTACACCACGAGGAAGGCCCGGGCCCTGGCGACGCAGGCGCGGTAGCTGCAGCTGTGGGTGTTGTCGTTGATGTGCAGAATGCCTTTGCCGTGTCTGCAGCCCCTCCATCGGCCAAAGGTATCCTCGCTGGTCGGGGAGCTGGCCTCTCGGAGGGTGTCCTGAGCCAGCCTCTTCATCAGGGTGCTCTTGCCCACGTCAGCAGAGCCCATCACCATGATGCAAAAATCTTTGCACTTCCTATGCGGTGAGGAGGCCGCAGGGGGCTCCGGCAAGGGGGGTTGAATCTGCTCGGCCAACAACAGCTGCTCTTTGATAGGAAAACAGAGATTTCCCATTGTTGGAAGAGGAAGCACCAAACTAGTTTGGCAAGCAGTAGTTGGAAGGAGAAACCTAGTGAGAATGAAAGATCATTAGGTTTGATTGGCCATAGTGCTTGAAGTCCCAGAACAATATTTTCGTTAGCAAGCACCCCAACCTTACCTGCTACCTCACTCCCAGTTGTGACCCATTTTGCACATTCTCTGGTCTTCCTGAAAACTACTTCCTTATCAAACCCCCATTGGCCCCAAACCACCCAAGTACTTCCCACTAATCCACTTAGACCCGCTCCCAGCTTGCGTTCTTTGCAAAAATCAATAAACTTGACAGACCACTGGCTAAATTGATGAAGAAGAGACTTGGATCAACAAAATCAGAGATTCCAAAGGAAACATTACAACAAACATCCAAGAAATCCAAAAGATTATGGAGGACTACTTTCAAAATCTATACTCAAATAAGATGGAAAATCTAGAAGTGCCTGGCAGGAATGTCCGCCCACGCACAATGCCCAGTTAGTCTTTATCTGTATTTACAGCCCCATTTCCAGGGCACAGAATGAGAACAAAAACTTTCACTTTTCTTGTATTTGCTGAGATGTGCTTTATGTCCTTGGCTATGATGTATTATTTTAGAGAATGTTCCATAGGATGCTGAGAAGAACTTATGGCTGGAACTCTACCATTGGAGCAATACCTCCATTCTAGCATTTTGCTGGTTAATTAGAGATGGAGTTCATAGACTTATCTGGCTAGACTGGCTTCAAATTACCATCCTCCAAGTCTCAGCTTCTTGAGTAGCTAGGATCATAGATGAGTGTGAACCACTGGTACCAGCTGGGTTGTTCATTTAAAAAGGAATACTTGATCAGTTATATATGGACTTGTAAGTCCATGGTTTATGAGAAAGGAACGGCAACCATGAACATGAACTCTGGAGTTGGACTGTTGAGATTCAACTTAACTTTCTTCTTATTAGCCTTAAAACCTTGAGTAAATCACCATGACTTCTGCCCTTTGTCTATAGCCAGGACAATAGCAATATAGGGACAGGGGAAACACTAGGGCTCCAGTAGAAACTTCCTAAGTAAAGATCCAGAAACACAACAAATCAAAGAGAAGCTAGAGAAACGGGATAGCATTAAACTGCAGAGAACATAGCTAAAAGGATAAATAGAAAGCCCACAAATTGAGAGACAATCTTTACTAGCTATACATCAGTTAAAGGCCTCATATGCAAAATATACTTAGAGCTCAGAAATTATCTGATTTTGAGAAAGGAAGGGGAATCATGAAAATGGCGGGACAAAGTGTGAACCAATGCAATAGTGATACTCATTTGACACTATGTAGGAAATGAACTTTACAACTTGGAAGGGAGGGGAGTTGGAGGGTAAAGTGGGAGAAAATGAGGGAGGGGGTAACATTGTTCAAAAAGAAATGTACTAACATTACCTTATTTATGTAACTCTAACCTTTCTGCACATCACCTTTACAAACAAACCTAATTTTTTAAAAAGAAACTCTACAACTAGTTAAAGATAAAAAGGAAAAAAAAAACCATAAATGTAAAAAATGATTATACACTTGCCAGATGTAGATAGTTCATACCTGTAATCCTAGCTAGCTATTCTGGAGGCTGAGATTTCAGGACTGTGGGTGGAACCCAGCCCAGGCAGGAAAGTCCATGAGGCTCTTATCTCCAATAAACTACTCAGAAAAAGCCTAAAGTGATTGATGCTGTGGCTTGGTGGTAGAGTCTTGAATGAAATAGCTAAGTAAAAGTGCCCAGGTCCTGAGTTCAAACCCCAGGACACACACACACTCACACACAGCATTATCACCATCTATTCTAACTCTGATATGCCAAGCAGTTTCCTATGTTTTGTTACCGAAACTTCTCAAAGAAAGAAGGGAAGACAAAGGCATCCTGGACACAGGACATGGGTGAAGGTGGTAGGTCAGTGGCTGAGAGTCAGGGGCCTGTCCCTTGCCCAGGCTGACAGAGAGCCCTCGGGAGTTGTCTTTGAATTACCAGAACCCTCCAGAAGCTGGACTTATGGTGAGGGGCACCCTTGCATCAGAACGGGCACCATACACAAGGAAAGGTATTGATTTATGTACCTGTCAGGGAGAAACACAAAGAAATGAGAAGCGAGCCATCCATATAGGCTCAAGGCTTTAGTGGGGGACAGACCTGCCAGGCTGCTCCAAGCAGGAACGGATGCAGCAGCAGTGGATAGGTGTGGGCAGGATTTAAACAAAATTTTAGGGGTCATTCACATTGGCCACATGGACAGTCACATGGGTCACATTACATGGACCTTGGGAATTGGGAGGGAGGGAGTCCGTTCTGAGAAGGAGGTTTACATGGGCTAAGGGAATGGGGAGGGTCTCGTTCCAAGGAGAATGTTGCACCTAGGGCAGGCATCTGTGTGTCACATCAGGAAAACAGTACAACATGGGGAAAAAAGAAACTTAACAGATTTTTGTAAACAGGTAGGGACAAGGGGGAGTGTAGGAGTGTAGGGGGCTTAATTGGCAAGCTTAGAGAAACTGATCGGGAGAATGAGCCATAATACCTAGCGTCCCTCTGCGCCCTTCCTCCCCCACACACTTCTGGAGCTACGGGATGATTCTTAGAAAAACGTATCGAAACGACTTGTGGGGTGGGGCAATGCGCAGCACCGCAGCACAACCAGAGCCATGTTGGCTGTCTCTGAGTCCAAATAGGACAAGCAAGAGGTCACAGCAAGCAAAGGGGTATCTGTAGGCGGGCGGGCTACCCAATCGCGCGTGCCTGGCATCCTTAGTGACCGCAAAGCGCACCAGACGGTGTCTGCTGGTACAAGCCTGCACCCTTTGTCACTGCGCATGCGCGATCCGGACCTGTATCTGACCCTGACTGCCCGTATACCGCGCCTACATCAGATTGCGCGTGCCTGGCATCCTTAGTAACAGCTCGTGCACACAGTACGGCGTCTGATAGTGCATACCGCACCTATAGCCACTGTGCGCACCCGCAATCTAGGCCTGTATCTAGCCGTGACAGCCAGTGCATGGTGCCTACATTGGATCGCCTATGCCTGGCAGCCTTAGTAACAGCGCGTACTCGCACCAATAGCCACTGCGCGCATGCGCGCGCGTTCTGGGTCTGTATCTAACCGTGACTGTCTGTGTATAGTGCCTACAGCGGATCATGCGTGCCTGACATCCTTAGTAACAGCACATACCCTCACTGATAGCCACTGTGCGCGCGTGATCTAGGCCTATATCTAACCTTGACGCCCTGTGTACGGTGCCTGCATTGGATCGCCCAAGCCTGGCATCCTTAGTAACAGCGCGTACCCGCAACCATAGCCACTGCGCATGCTCGATCTGGGCCTGTACCTAACCGCGACCCCCTGTGTATGGTGCCTGCATTGGATCGGGAGTGCCGGGCATCCTTAGCAACAGCACGTACCCACACCCATAGCCACTGCGTGTGCGCAATCTGGGCCTGTATCTAACCGTGACGGTCCGTGTTCGGTGCCTACATTAGATCGCCCGTGGCTGGCACCCTTAGTAACAGCGCGTACCCGCACCCATAGCTACTGCGCGTGCGCGATCTTTGCCTGTATC